TCTTCCCTTTCTCACTCTATCACTATTTCTCTCTCTCGCCCCTCCTTCCTTCTCTTAGTCCCTTTTTCTCTCCCTCTTTCTCTCCCCCTTTCTCTCCCTCGTGTCAGCCAATCACCAGCCTCGTCGTCCTCTCCCGCATTTTCCTCGCCATTAAACACGTTGGTAACTTGTGTCGATTTTGTTGGTATTTTATGCTAACGTGACCTGACCTGACCTGATCTACTAGCCTCTGCTGTCTGTCCTGACCTAACCTAACCTAGCCTCATCCGTCAACCTTAAGAGCTCACTTTTATTATTATTTTATGGTTACGTTGACCTGACCTCTGAACTATTTAATGGTGACCTGACCTGACCTGACATCTGACCTCTAATTACCTCATTAATATTCTATCATCTCTAAGTGGATAAGCGTATTAACTCATTATGAACAGTTGCAGGACACTGTAGGTGGGGGATTAGTAAGAATTATTTATAACAGGTACGATTTAACCTTTTGAGACTTGGGGGTTATATCATCATCCCCAAAGGGTTAAACCATCATCCTCAAAGGGTTAAACCATCATCCTCAAAGGGTTAAACCATTCCTCAAAGGGTTAAGGTATGGGAGGAAGACTGACATAGAGATGGGTTAAGTTCGGAAGATCTTGGTAGTAGTAGTAGTAGTAGCAGTAGTAGTAGTAGCAGTAGTAGTAGTAGTAGTAGTAGTAGTAGTAGTTATTACAGTGAAGGAGGAAGGGAAGCCACAGTTCACTATAAGGTTGTACTCAGACAACCACGTGTATGTCAACACCTGAGACTTGGGATCCTCAGTAACCAATCAGCGATGAGCCGAGCATTTCCGACCAACAGACTTTGGATCCTGGGTAACCAATCAGCGATGAGCCGAGCATTCCCGACCTACAGACTTTGGATCCTGGGTAACCAATCAGCGATGAGCCGAGCATTTCCGACCTACAGACTTCGGATCCTCAGTAACCAATCAGCGATGAGCTGCTACTTCCGGAATCTAAGGAATTCTTCGGATCCTTGCAACCAATCAAAGGAGTGAGCCGAACGTTTCCGACCTTATAAAACCAAAAAAAAAAATCTGGTCTATCAGTGAGGCAGGCCAGAGTTTTCCTGCAGGTATCTCAAAAGGAAGGAACAGGTTGGGAAAACGAAAACCAGACGCCTTTTTAATCCGGTTATTGGAAATTCCCGAATAATGAGAAATCCGGTAAAGGGAGAGATTACTTAATGTGCTAAAATAAAAGTCACATAATGATAAATTTGTAAAAAAAAATGGCGGCATAAAACAGAAAATTTTTTTTAAATTGAAACAAAAATAAAAACGATATAGAATGTTGAGGGGAAAAAACTAAAATGGGAAACAAGGTAAAAATTCATCACTCTTCCAAAATGTAATAAAAATGCATAACATATACAATAAAAAGTAAATATTAAAACATATTCAAAATCACGAAGAGTTTTTGTCGTCTGATGTCAATATTGTCACCAAATATTGTGATGCATGTGGTTTAGGGTTAGGTTAGGGTAGGGCTAGGTTTGGTTAGGGTTAGGGTAGGGCTAGGTTAGCGTAGGGCCAGGTTAGGGGGGCTAGGTTAGGGTAGGGCTAGGTTAGGGTAGGGCTAGGTTAGGGTAGGGCTAGGTTGGGTGGCAGGGCTAAGGTTAGGGTAGGGGTGGGTAGGTTAGGGTAGGGCTAGGTTTGGGTAGGGCTAGGTAAGGGTAGAGCTAGGGTAGGGCTAGGTTAGGGTAGGGCTAGGTAAGGGTAGGGCTAGGTAAGGGTAGAGCTAGGGTAGGGCTGGGTAAGGGTAGAGCTAGGGCTAGGTTTGGGTAGGGCTAGGTAAGGGTAGAGCTAGGGTAGGGCTAGGTTTGGTTAGGTTAGGTTACATGTGCTGTGTGAACTTTGTAATATATCATCATGAAATAAACAGATCGTGAAGGTAGAACAATACACACAGTCAACAGAAACTACTGGAGGATGTAAAGAGTATTTGTACGATCTACTGAACAGAGGGGAAGTACCAGGACAGTGTCTCCCCACAGGTAGAAGGGCTGGAGGCGAGGGGGAAGTACCAGCTGGTGATCAGGGCAGTGAACGATAAGGGCTCCAGCAGTGCCGCTCATCTCACTGTCACCAGCATCGACACCAAGAACTATGTATACCAGCTGCATGGTGAGTGTGTGTGTGTGTGTGTGTGTGTGTGTGTGTTTGTGTGTGTTTAAAATCATGAACATATCCAATTGTTAACTGTTTACTGATACCACCGGTAATTAATGACACTTGATGAATAACAGGTAATCAGGTATAATATTCAGGTGGTGGACGGTATGTAGGCGCTGGTGATCGCTCGTGCTGGCGTTGTTTATCATGATAGGGAACTATAACCCCTTGGTGTATATAACATAAGGTCGTTTGATTCCCCTCTCTCAGACGGGCCCCTGGAGGCTGAGGTCCGGGATGGTGGCAAGAACGGTGTGGTGGGTGGTGAGAGTGAGGTTCCTGAAGAGTCCTTCCTTGACGCTCTGGCTCTCCCATCCTTCATCATGGGAGTCCTGGGCGTAGGATCAGGCCTGGTGCTGCTCGTAATTTTACTCCTGTTGATCATCACCTTCCGCGGCAGGAGGAGGGCGCCCCAGCTACACCCTCTGGCACACAACCTTCACCTGACGGACACCGAGGAGAGTCTTCCTAGTGGCGCCTCACCTGGAGTACTCTCACACGTGTTGACACCTGACCACCTTACTACCAGTCTGGAGGGGGGCGTGATGGTGAGTAGAGAGAGAGAGAGAGAGAGAGAGAGAGAGAGAGAGAGCATTAACCTCAACACACAATATTTGTTATCTTCCAGCAACATCAGACAGAGAGCGAGAGCGACATTGACCCTGATGTGATCCCTCTACAAGAATCTATACCAGGAGGTGACACAGAGGTGGTGACCCTACAGGCAGCTACTGTCTTGCCCTCACACCACTACTACAGTACAGTCCTACACTACACCTACAGTCCTACAGTCCTACACTCTACCACAGTCACACTCTACACCTACAGTCCTACACTCTACACCTACAGTCCTACTCTACACCTACAGTCCTTCTACAGTCCTACACTCTACACCTACAGTCCTACACTCTACACCTACAGTCCTACACTCTACACCTACAGTCCTACACTCTACACCTACAGTCCTACACTCTACACCTACAGTCCTACACTCTACACCTACAGTCCTACACTCTACACCTACAGTCCTACACTCTACACCTACAGTCCTACACTCTACACCTACAGTCCTACACTCTACACCTACAGTCCTACACTCTACACCTACAGTCCTACACTCTACACCTACAGTCCTACACTCTACACCTACAGTCCTACACTCTACACCTACAGTCCTACACTCTACACCTACACTTGATATAAACATTATGACAAACATTCATTAATAGATAACATTAATGTCTTATTTATTGAGTTTCTCTATTTAGGAAATTTCAGACAGTTCAAGTTATATTATTATTTCTCTCTTGGTGATACTTAATAGGCTTGTGTGTCTGTCTGTCACCACCACCACCATCATCCCCAAGTGTGAGACCAACAGCTGAGGGTCGTAACTCGCCTCCCTAACATGGACGAGTTGAGGTGAGAATTTTCCCTAACATTGCCGAGTTGAGGTGAGAATCTTCCTAAAATTGCCGAGTTGAGGTGAGAACAACATTGCCGAGTTGAGGTGAGAATCTTCCCTAACATTGCCGAGTTGAGGTGAGAATCTTACCCTAACATTGCCGAGTTGAGGTGAGAATCTTCCCTAACATTGCCGAGTTGAGGTGAGAATCTTCCCTAACATTGCCGAGTTGAGGTGAGAATCTTACCCTAACATTGCCGAGTTGAGGTGAGAATCTTACCCTAACATTGCCGAGTTGAGGTGAGAATCTTCCTTAGCCCGAACAAGATAAAGAGCACAGCATGAATAGCAGTAAATCAATTAACAAGCTAGAATCAAATTAATCACGAACTTAGTTAATTATCAACTTTGACTAGACAAGGAGAGAGAGAGAGAGAGAGAGAGAGAGAGAGAGAGAGAGAGAGAGAGAGAGAGAGAGAGAGAGAGAGAGAGAGAGAGAGAGAGAGAGAGAGAGAGCCTTGATATACACCGAGTTAAATAAGAAAGCTGAACTAGACAAGGTAGGAAGGAGAGAGAGACACACATCGTAACAAAGTGGCAGGTTAATTGTCTTGCTAGTTTATGTTAACCCGTGACAAGGTAATGAAGGAAGGGGTGAGTGATGAGGGTGTAAGCGAGACAGAGGGAAGAAATTCACACCACAAGGCAACAAGAGTGAGAATGTATGGTACTCCAAAACACGACTCATCAAACACACGTATCCATTATCAAGGAAACAGCATTAAATAGTAACACAATTCTTAAGTTTCCATCATCAGAGGCAATAAATGACAGACACCTTCTCTCCCAGTTGACAGAGAAGAGACAGCATCGCAGTTGTCGGTAGATGGCAGCACCAACAGCCATCTCAGAGAATCACAGAAGACACCTGGAGTGGATGACACGTGCCAGTAATCACCAAGGAGCTGTGCAACTGAACCAGCAGGTAAAGTAAATGAGAGTGAACTGTGTGTATAATGGTGTGTGTGTGTGTGTGTGTGTGTGTGTGTGTGTGTGTGTGTGTATTTTTAGTCATACCCTAAACATGATCAAACACATTCACTGATAATTAATTATGAATATTTCCAACAGAAGTGAATGGCAGACAACTCTTCCCCCCCCTTCCCCCTGCCACCGCTAATGTGTGATGGAAGACTCGTAAGTTACAGAAAACCTAACCTAACCTAACCTAACTTAACCTAACTCTATACCACCATACAAAGTTACCAACAGGTATTATAAGGGAGTGAAAGGTGAGGTGTTGAAGGTGATTAACAAACGTCAACATCGTTCTTCATCGTCTCAGCTTCCATCGTCTGGTACTGTACAAGTGAAGGGAAAGATCTTATGTGTCTGTTTCACTCAAGTATAATTTCTAATACACGGAAGTATACGAGTAGTATATCCTGTAAGGTAAATAATGGACTGTCACTCTTGTTTGGCTACACTGGGAAGCTATTGGAATATTATATGGTAATTTTTTATATATTATTATTTATATGGTTCTGTGTTTTTAGATTTATAAACCTATAATGATATAAGAGTTTTGAGGGAAAGTTTATGCTTAAGGTTTTATATATTGTATATTTGTACATATAAATATATATTATTAATAAATATGAAAATATATCACACATTTTCTGTTTCCTTCGTCAGTATTAAGTCACCATCAACATAACTCAAACTAAATCATGATTAATTTGGTTACGAACACAAAAAAAAAACATTGATTTTTACCCTTAACCTGTACAACAAGTTATATTATGGCCAACACCTAAGTATATAAAAATTATTTCTCCATACTAACTGTTTTAACTGGCCAACACAATCACTAAGTAAACCAAACCAGCTCGCGAACCGATATCATGGCGGGATAAACACCAAAATAAAGATGTACTGTCACCACTGGAGACTGTCGGGTGATGACTCAGCCTCTACAACACCAACACTTGCTCAATATTCCCGCCAACTACACCAAAAGTTTACCATATGAACCTTCTCACATCTTGAACAAACCTGCTAAGATTATGTAAATTCGCAAACCCGATCTTGGATTATTTTGGGGGACATACAGACAGACAGACTGACATGACCGAAAACTATACACCCTCCCCTTCAGTATAGGGAGTAGGGTAATAAACAACAGCTCTGCCAACTGTGCTACACTCACGTCCGCACTGCAGTCAGTTGCCTCTTAATTTATAGCACTAAATGGCGGTGATATTACTAATAAAACCTTACAGGATCGTGGGCGTCTGTTTCCAGTTATCATTTACTATAGACAGACGGACAGACAGACAGACAGACAGACAGACAGACTGAAACTACACCTCCAATGCTGAAATGTCTCTGAATAACAATAAAAAAATAAATAAAAATACTCGTATGAATGAATGAATTAATAAATAAATATATATATAAACCACGAACGGATAAATAAAATAAATAAGTAAATATAAACCATAAATGCATAAAATACATCAATAAATAAGAAAGTATAATAGTTGGTTCTTAAGCTAACAAGACAACGCCTCTTACTCTACCACCGAGAGCTCAAGTCAACCACCAGGCATTAAGTAGCAGTCAGCCGTGGTCGATGGTCATCACGATCCAGCCCGCTCCTCTCTGTGTGTGTGTAAAGGAGGAATTTTTGACACAGCACAGATAACCGTGATCGTGAGGCACCCAGCAAACGTGGCAGATTTTTTTGGGGGGGATGTGAGAGGATGTCAGCGGTCTTCTGACATTCCTCCTTCTCCTGGAGTCACGTACGTTCCTCCTGAAGGTGATCTCGTGTCCTATGTCGCTGATTCAGGGAAGTGACCCAATGTGATAAGATATTGACCTAAGAAACTATTCCAAGTATTTTGTGAGTGTGAATGATGATTACTCTCTCACTCTCTCTGACAGTTAATTACATGGGGATCACTGACAAGGGTCTAGCCTAATCACATGATAACTGGTTTAAAGGACAATTTGGGTCAAAATTATCCTATCTGAAAATCCTTCCCTAGGATTATTACAATAAATTATCATACAGTACATAGTAAAAGACACTGGATTAATTAAATATGTGTATGTCAACTATAAGGAAGACCCACTAACATGACGCCTTAGAGCTAATATCCCAGAGTCTCGCTGTTGTGTCCCTGCCTATCACTCGGTAATCACTGCAGACAACCTCGTCAGGTTAACTTTCTGAGTTGATATTGTCGTCTGTGGAGTGTTTATTATGACCCCCCCCCCACACACCACATAAAGGGGGATATATTGATCTTTAATAGTTTGTCTGTTGGTACTTAGGTAGGTCCGTCCCATCCAAGTTTGTGATCAGGATTAGATAAAGAATTCTAGCCTAATCACATGATAACTGGTTTAAAGGACAACTTGGGTCAAAATTATCCTATCTGAAAATCCTTCCCTAGGATTATTACAATAAATTATCATACAGTACATAGTAAAAGACACTGGATTAATTAAATATGTGTACGTGTGTGTGTGTGTGTGTGAGTGTGTGTGTGTCAACTATAAGGAAGACCCACTAACATGACGCCTTAGAGCTAATATCCCAGAGTGGAGGTTCGCTGTTGTGTTTCTCCCTGCCTATCACTCGGTAATCACTGCAGACAACCTCGCCCCACGTCAGGTTAACTTTCTGAGTTGATATTGTCGTCTGTGGAGTGTTTATTATGACCCCCCCCCCACACACCACATAGGTAGAATAAAGGGGGATATATTGATCTTTAATAGTTTGTCTGTTGGTACTTAGGTAGGTCCGTCCCATCCAAGTTTGTGATCAGGATTAGATAAAGAATTACCCAGTGGATATTGGTGTACTCAGAGAGAGAGAGAGAGAGAGAGAGAGAGAGAGAGAGAGAGGAGAGAGAGAGAGAGAGAGAGAGAGAGAGAGAGGAGAGAGAGAGAGAGAGAGAGAGAGAGAGAGAGCATAGTCTACAAAGTTGTAGAAGGAGAAAAGACAGAATGATCAACGTCTCGTAAAGTACACGAAGAAACTCATCAAATATGGATCAACCTAAACTATAGATAATTCACCTGACTATAGAAATTACTTTAACCTGTATCCTATATCCGCACGACGGCATAAAAAAACACAACAAACACAAGTCATACTCACGTGAAGTCAAACTCATAAGGTGAAGTCAAACTCATAAGGTGAAGTCATACTCATAAGGTGAAGTCAAACTCATAATGTGAAGTCATACTCATAAGGTGAAGTCATACTCATAAGGTGAAGTCATACTCATAAGGTGAAGTCAAACTCATAAGGTGAAGTCAAACCCATAAGGTGAAGTCAAACTCATAAGGTGAAGTCAAACTCATAAGATGAAGTCAAACTCATAAGATGAAGTCAAACTCATAAGGTGAAGTCAAACTCATAAGGTGAAGTCAAACCCATAAGGTGAAGTCAAACTCATAAGGTGAAGTCAAACTCATAAGATGAAGTCAAACTCATAAGGTGAAGTCAAACTCATAAGATGAAGTCATACTCATAAGGTGAAGTCAAACTCAGGTGAAGTCATTAACAAACTGCAGAACATTCCTCTCGTCAAAGGTGAGTGTAAATAGTTGTGTGGTGGAGCCTTAACAACAAACCCGACACAGCCAGGACAAACTCTCCCTCACATGACAACTTTCACTACTTTCTCCACTTAAATTTAACACTTGGGGAGTAAACTTGTGGCGTCCATTAGTGTCTACGAACCGGGAATTACTCTTGTGTTGCAGATTGTTGGTTGTGTTGCAGATTACTAGGAATTGTTGGTTGTGTTGCAGATTACTAGGAATTGTTGGTTGTGTTGGAGATTACTAGGAATTACTGTTGTGTTGCAGATTCTTGGTTGTGTTGCAGATTAATAGGAATTATTATTGTGTTGCAGATTGTTGGTTGTGTTGCAGATTACTAGGAATTACTATTATGTTGCAGATCTTGTTTGTGTTGCAGATTTCATGGAGGTCACTCAACATAGTTTCCGAGCCAACTAATCATATACCGTAATGCCAGCTGTCTAGTTAATCAAACCCGCCCTGGTGATCTCAGTACGTTAAGTCAATAATATCCACCTCACGCCACCTACCGGAGTAAGTCAATAATATCCACCTCACGCCACCTACCGGAGTAAGTCAATAATATCCACCTCACGCCACCTACCGGAGTAAGTCAATAATATCCACCTTCGCCACCTACAGGAGTAAGTCAATAATATCCACCACACGCCACCTACCGGAGTAAGTCAATAATATCCACCTCACGCCACCTACCGGAGTAAGTCAATAATATCCACCTCACGCCACCTACCGGAGTAACATTACATATACCTTTTGACAAGTTGTGAGAAGCATCTAAGGCCAGTCTTATTACCTTAACGGTCTATTATATAAAGGTATTAATAATTCTTTATATTATGTTTATTAAGTTAGAATTTGAGTTTTGTTAATAAGGTCAATGGGAGTTTTGATGTTTTTCACTATATGGATTCTGTTGTGCGCGGGTATAGTGAGATGCAGTTTACCTGATGAGTCGATGAGTTTATTGCCTTCAACACTACCATCACCACCTCCTCCTATTGCCTTCACCATCACCACCACCACCTCCCACTGCCTTCACCATCACCACCATCACCTCCCACTGCCTTCACCATCACCTCCCATTACTTTCACCATCACCACCATCACTCCCACTACCTTCACCATCACCACCACTACCTTCCCCATCACCACCATCACCACCACTACCTTCCCCATCACCACCATCACTCCCACTACCTTCACCATCACCACCACTACCTTCCCCATCACCACCATCACCACCACTACCTTCCCCATCACCACCATCACTCCCACTACCTTCACCATCACCACCACCACCTCCTACTGCCTCTCACCACATCACCAAACCCACTCCAATTCCCCATTACTTTCACCATCACCACCATCACTCCCACCACCTCACCATCACCACCACTACCTTCCCATCACCACCATCACCACCACACTACCTTCCCCATCACCACCACCATCACTCCCACTACCTTCACCATCACCACCACCTCCCATTACCTTCACCATCACCACCATCTCCTCCTACTGCCTTCACCATCACCACCACCACCTCCCATTACCTTTCACCATCACCACCACTCCCACTACCTTCACCATCACCACCACCACACCTCCCCAATTGCCTTCACCATCACCACCATCACTCCCACTACCTTCACCATCACCACCACTACCTTCCCCATCACCACCATCACCACCACTACCTTCCCCATCACCACCATCACTCCCACTACCTTCACCATCACCACCATCACCACCATCACCACCACTACCGTCCCCATCACCACCATCACTCCCCTACCCTAATAAATCCCCGATACTTTTTCTGTGTTAAATTCCAATGAAAATCGAGAGTTAGAGGGACTAGTAGAGGCTATTATCCCTTGCTATTGTCATTCCTGAATTTCTATATTTTTTATTCAATTCCTTTTATTACAATGTGGTATTTTTTTTTTACTCTTTTTAACTAAATTCCGAGATACAGAACGACTTTGAAAAAAAAAAACATTAAAATAATTCTCCCGTAAATTCAATCGTAATTCTGTTTTTTCTACGTTAATGAAAGTGATGAATAAAAATATCTTTATTAACTTGGCAATAAGAGTGAGGTAAATCTGATGTTATCCTGGCCAACCCCTCCTCTGTGCACCCTCATCGTCACTACAGGATTTTCTGGCTCTGTGTGTGTGTGTGTGTGTGTGTGTGTGTGTGTGTGTGTGTGTGTGTGTGTGTGTGGGTTAGGTTAGGATTGTGTTAGGTTAGGTTAGGTTAGGTTAGGTTAGGTTAGGTTAGGTTAGGATTGTGTTAGGTTTAAGTCAACACTAAACCCAGAATTCTCCCCAGCTACCCAGAAATGACACACACTAGTGAAAGCCCCAGCCAGACTAACGTTCGCCTGTCTTCTGCTTACTCTGGCGTTAAGTGTGATACGAGAACTAAAGTTTGGGCTGAAATACACTACTATGCTTTCTGTCGCCTGTATGTTATATATCTCCTCGCTGGCAGTCAGTGTGAGGAACAGGTAGTGGGCAGCTGAGGAGGAGGAGGTTTGTGTCAAGTCTGTCTGTCTGTCTGTCTATCTGTCTGCCTGTCTGTCTGTCTCTTATCCCCTTACTCTCTCTCTCTCTCTCTCTTTCCTTCTCTTTTATTGCTTTTCTATTTTTCGACCTTTTATTCTCTTTCTCTATGTTTCTTTCCATCTCCTTCTGTCGTTTTGTCTTTCCTTATCTCTCGTTCTCCACCCATCTTACTTTCTCTCTCTCTTTCCTCTTCTTTCTTTCCTTATCTCTCGTTCTCCCTCCCCATCTGTCCCCCTCTCTCTTTCCTTCCCCCCTTTCTTCCTCCATCCCTCTCTCTCTTTCCTTCCCCTTTCTCCTTCCCTCTCTCTTATTTTTCTATTTCCTTTACTCCTCTTCTCCTTTTGTCCCTGTGGTAGTAGTGAGAAATATTGTATCTCTCATCCCAGGCGACAGGTTTCCCACACACCATACGGGAGGAGGTTCCACAAAAGCTTTACTTATGCTCAGTGAGAAACAGACTGACAGAGACACACGTGAAGAGAAATATAAAATGTTTGAGTTAATATCGTAAGTCTTAAAGTCTGATGTTAAGTTATTAGTTTTAAGTTGAGTTATAAGTCTTGTGTCATAAGTCTTAAGTTGTGTCATAAGTCTTAAGTTATGTCATAAGTCTTAAGTTATGTCATAAGTTTTAAGTTGAGTCATAAGTCTTAAGTCCTAAGTCTTAAGTTATGCCATAGGCTAAGTTTGAAGTTTACATTTTTCTGAGAGAAAGAAATCAAGAGATTAATGAATCCGAATATTTACAATAGTACATAGTTTAGTGTGGTGTCAGGGCCTGTGTATGGGGAGTGACAGTGAGAGGTGGGGGGGGGGGCACTGTCTCCCTCATCCCCAGATAATGGGGAGGATGAGGGAGGAGGGGGAGGGGTAGGGAAGGGGGATGAGTCTCAAGGAGGATCAACCAAACCCAAGGAAAGTCAAGCAGGTTACCAGATCGTGTTCAGATACCAGTGGTGAGTGACGGAGGTTTATGTCTGAGGGAGAAATATTCGTGCCAGGAATAAACCCCCACATCACTCATAGTTTTCCCCTCCCCTCCCCACTACCACCCCTCCCCTCTCACTACCACCCCTCCTCTCCCCTACCACCCTCCCTCCCTACCACCCCTCCCCTCCCTCCCACCTACCACCCCTCCCTCCCTACCACCCCTCCCTCCCACTACCACCCCTCCCCTCTCCACTACCCATCCCTCCCCCTCCCCTTGCCCCCTCCTCCCTACTACCCCTCCCCTCTCCCTACCCCTCCTCCCCACTACCACCCCTCCCCATCCCCCACTACCACCCCTCCCCCTCCCCTACCACCCCTCCCCTCCCCACCCCTCCCCTCCCCCACCCCTCCCCTCCCCCTACCACCCCTCCCAGAGCCAGCTGGTGCCTGCCTCACACCTCTACTACACACTCCCCCAGGCCCCGAGACACCTCACTCCAACCATCCTTCCTCGTGTCCGCCCATCCAATCACTCACCTTTCATCCACCCGTCCACCTGTTCCTGCCGTTGCCACTATACAGGTGACAGAATGACAGAACCCCATCTAGACAGTTTAGAGTCCATCAGGCAAAAGACCCATAACATCTACCCGAACTGTGGCAAACCCTCCGCCAGGTCCCCACTCGCACTACCACACTCAATCAAAGCAACAACTACCACGCACTCAAACTCACATCCAGATGGCAACTAGCCCACACAAGCAACTGCTAGATTCACTGACCTCCTCAGAAAGAATGAACAAAGACTCGACAGACTTTGTTGTTATCCTAAGACTCTCTTCTCAGTTCACCGTAACATTAATTGACAACATATGTATTTTACCCAAAGGCAGCGAAGGGGAACCAGATCTCTTGGCTCACCGATAATTGCTTTCCCTATAATTGACAACCCCAAGCACCCACAACCCCCAACCACCCTGACCCCAAGCACCACCCCAAGCACCCACCCCAAGCACCCACAACCCCTCACCCAAACCCAAGCACCCCAACCCCAAGCACCCACAGCCCAAGCACCCACAACCCCAAGCACCCACAACCCCAAGCACCTCAACCCCAAGCACCCACAGCCTCAAAGCACCCACAACCCAAGCACCTACAACCCCAAGCACCCACAACCCCAAGCACCTACAACCCCCAGGCACCCACAACCCCAAGCACCCACAACCCCAAGCACCCACAACCCCAAGCACCCACAACCCCAAGCACCCACAACCCCAAGCACCCCACAGCCCCAAGCACCCACAGCCCCAAGCACCCACAACCCCAAGCACCTACAACCCCAAGCACCCTGACCCCAAGCACCTACAACCCCAAGCACCCCAACCTCAAGCACCTACAACCCCAAGCACCTACAACCCCAAGCACCCTGACCCCAAGCACCTACAACCCCAAGCACCCTGACCCCAAGCACCTACCCGCACCCCCACAACCCCAAGCACCCACGACCCCAGGCACCTGCAACCCCAAGCACCCTGACCCCAAGCACCCATGACCCCAAGCACCCACACCCCCAAGCACCTACAACCCAAGCACCCCCAACCCCCCAGACGCCCCAGCCCCAGCACCTGACCCCAAGCACCCACAGCCTGCCCCACAACCCAGCCCTGGCCCCAAGCACCCACAACCCCAGCACTTCTGACCCCAAGCACCCACCCCCAAGCACCCACAGCCCACCAGGCACCCACAACCCCAAGCACCCACAGACCCCAAGCACCCACAGACCCCAAGCACCCCACAACCCCAAGCACCCACAACCCCAAGCACCTGACCCCAAGCACCTGACCCCAAGCACCTCCAAGCACCCTGACCCCAAGCACCTGACCCCAAGCACCCCTGACCTCCCAAGGCACCCTGACCCCAGCGCCTGACCCCAAGCACCCTGACACCCAAGCGCCTGACCCCACAGGCCTGCCCCAGGCACCCTGACCCAGGCACCCTGACCCCAGCGCCCACGGCCCCAGGCACCTGCACCCCAAGCACCCTGACCCCAGGCACCTGACCCCAAGCACCTGCCGCACCGCAGCCCCAGGCACCCCTGACCCCAGGCACCCACAACCCCAAGCACCCTGACCCCCAAGCACCCACAGACCCCAAGCACCTGCAACCCCAGCACCTACAGCCCCCAAGCACCCCACCCCAAGCACCACAGCCCCAGCCCTCACCCCAACCCCCCACCCCAGCACCTGCACCCCAAGCACCCCCAACCCCAAGCACCCACAGCCACAGCACCCCACAACCCCAAGCACCCCACAACTGGCACCTACAACCAAGCACCACAACCCCAAGCACCCACAACCCCAAGCACACCTACAACCCCAAGCACCTCAACCCCCAAGCCACCCCACAACCCCAAGCACCTACAACCCCAAGCACCCACAACCCCAAGCACCTACAACCCCAAGCACCTCAACCCCAAGCACCTACAACCCAAGCACTACAACCCCAAGCACCTACAACCCCAAGCACCTACAACCCCAGGCACCTACAACCCCCAGGCACCCACAACCCCAAGCACCTACCCCAGGCACCTAACCCCAAGCACCCCACACCCCAAGCACCCACAACCCCAAGCACCCACAACCCCAAGCACCCACAACCCAAGCACCCACAACCCCAAGCACCCACAACCCCCAGCACCCCAGCCCCAACTACAGCCCCAAGCACCTGCCCCCAGGCACCTGCAAGCCCCAAGCACTACCTGACCCCAAGCACCCACACCCCAAGCACCTCAGCCCCAGCACCTCTGACCCCAAGCACCTAACCCCAGGCACCCCACAACCCCAAGCACCCACACGGCACCACCCCCAAGCACCCACAACCCCCAAGCACCCTGACCCCAAGCACCCCCAACCCCCAAGCACCCACAGCCCCAAGCACCCACAACCCCAAGCACCTACAACCCCAAGCACCACCACCCCAAGCACCTACAACCCCAAGCACCCACAACCCCAAGCACCCACAACCCCAGCACCCCAACCCCAAGCACCACAACCCAAGCACCTACAACCCCAAGCACCTACAACCCCAAGCACCTACAACCCCAAGCACCCACAACCCCAAGCACCCACAACCCCCAAGCACCCACAACCCAAGCACCTACAACCCCAAACACCCACAACCCCAAGCACCCACAGCCCCAGCACCCACAGACCCCAAGCACCCCTGACCCCAAGCACCCAGCCCCCAAGCACCCCTGGCTCCCCAAGCACCCACAGCCCCCAAGCACCTCACTGGCACACCACTAAGCACCTACAACCCCAACACCCACAACCCCAAGCACCCACAGCCCCAAGCACCCACAACCCAAGCACCCACAACCCCAAGCACCCACAACCCCAGGCACCCACAACCCCCAAGCACCCTGCCAAGCACCCACAACCCCAAGCACCCTGACCCAAGCACCCCACAACCCCAAGCACCTACAACCCCAAGCACCTACAACCCCAAGCACCCACAACCCCAAGCACCCACAACACCAAGCACCACAACCCCAAGCACCCACAACCCCAAGCACCCACAACCCCAAGCACCCACAACCCCAAGCACCTACAACCCCAAGCACCCACAACCCCAAACACCCACAACCCCAAGCACCCACACCCCAAACACCCACAACCCCAAGCACCCACAACCCCAGCACCCAGCCCCAAGCACCCCACACCCCAAGCACCCTGACCCCAAGCACCCCACAACCCCAAGCACCCCACAACCCAAGCACCTACAACCAAACACCCACAACCCCAAGCACCCCACAACCCCAAGCACCTACAACCCCCAAAGCACCCACAACCCCAAGCACCTACAACCCCAAGCACCCACAACCCCAAGCACCTACAACCCCAAGCACCCACAACCCCAAGCACCCCACAACCCCAAGCACCCACAACCCACAAGCACACAACCCCAGGCACCTACAACCCCCAAGCACCCACACCTCAGCACCCACAACCCCCAACCACCTCAGACTTCCCCAAAACCTTACGAACTCACAACTCGCTAAGGAGGACCTGACGACGAGTCCCTCAACATGTACTAACCGAGGGCGCGAGTCAGTCAACTAAACACACACTGCAGATGATCCAACAAGAAATGTAATATAACACTTAGTCTAAAGGAGTCAACTTATTTTACGCGGAAAGCTAAGAAAAAACCAAACAGTTCTGGCGTGATACAGTTAACATCGACCCATAAACACATAACATAGAGATTCATGTCTTGTTGACTTTTGGATCTACCTACGTCCGTGTGTGTGTTTGTTTCTCTGTCGTGGAATCAGATGAAACAGCCGAAACGATCTTCACTGTGTTCTGATATAGACAATGCCACGGTTTGAGAACACCAGAACTAAATTAAATAAATAAATAAATAAAATAAATAATCACTGTACTATTTTATTACACCCCTTACATTAATCTTTTCGTTAATATGAATTAGTTAATTGGTTCGTCTTCCCTCAGGTGTGCCAGGTGTTACATAAATAGGTAAATGGCTATATAGACCTTTGGGGAAAATGCAGCACAAACATGAATATATCTTGGCCCTTAATATTTAACTACGTCTTGATTTACGAGAACATAACACCTTTTAGTCTTGTACCAATTAAGGAAGGGGGAGGGAAGGGGAAAGGGGAGGGGTAGGGAAGGGGAGAGAGAGTGGATGCTACTATTAAACCTCTATGAATGGTGGTGGTGGTGGTGGTGATGGTGGTGGTGGTGGTGGTGAGTGGTGGAGTGGTGATAGTGGTGGTGGTGGTGGTGGTGGTGGTGGTGGTGGTTGTGGTGATGGTGGTGATAGTGGTGGTATGACGCGTCTTAAAACCAACGACAAAATAAGACCTTTCACCAGCCACTTTCTACGTCAACTTTCTCTTCACTGCTCAGAGAAACTTGGTTCATCCTTAGGAAAGTTTACTTCATCTGCCGAAGAAACTTGCTTTGTTTGCTGGTCCTCTCTGGCATTTTCCCTTATTTTATACTATTTTTTTTTTTGCTGTTTATCGTGTTTTTTGTAGTTGTTTTGTTGTGAATTTGTGAAAGCGGTGTCATGTTGCACTGTGTTATTGTGGTGTCATCGCTGTATTGTTTGACTTCAAAGGAATAACTAAGGAATTTACAATGTACTACCTAACAGGGCTGGCTGACCTGTGTTGGGTACCAGAGAGAGAGAGAGAGAGAGAGAGAGAGAGAGAGAGAGAGAGAGACCTTTATTCTAATCCTCTTCCAACAAATCCAAACTCCTACAGATCACTTCTTAAAAACAATCCACTGAATATTACAATCTCATCCACCTCAACAGCAGCGCCATAGTGACCGTCCTTATGGTAATTATCACGAGGTACAGGTAGGGAGGGAATCGTGTCGTCGAATGAGGTAGTTGGACTATTAGGCTAACGAGCACACGCTGGGGGGCGAGTGGAGGAGGCATTATCGTGGTCATTCACTGAGGAGATAACACCTTACACTGCAGTATGTGATGAGTATTATGAGTATTATAGTTTAGTATTATGTTAGATACCTATTGTGTGTTAAGTAGTCCTTAGTCATAATGAGGTAGAAGTATTATTAACACATACACACACAAAAAAAAAATAATAATAACAATGAAATCAACATAACTCTTAGAAGTATAATAACACACATAATTACTATATAATCTCTATATCATAATTCAAGAAGGACATATCTCCCCCCCCCCTCAACAATTAATTATATACCATCACCTCACACGGTTTTAATCACCCTAGGATACGGGTTTAATTAATCTGATTTATATTATTAAAGGGCATATGGGTATTCAGGTGTTGAATGTTTTAGTAATTAATGACTGTAATATTGGTTTAAGTGATGGTATTATGGTTGGTTGTAATTAGAATTTGTTGTTGTTGTTGTTGTTGTTAAATCTCACACACAGGTGTATTGGTAGTTGTGGTTTTTGTTCTGTTTGTTTCTCTTCCTCTGTCTGTCTCTCTGTCTATCTGTAATCTCTGTCTCTGTCTCTATATATTTCTCTATATGTGAGTCTCTCTCTCTGTGTGTCTGTCTCTCTTGATCTGCCAAAATGTCTCTATTATTTATCCATTTGTCTGCCTCTGTCTCTCTCTCTCTCTCTCTCTCTCTCTCTCTCTCTCTCTCTCTCTCTCTCTCTCCCTCAGGCACTACCATCACACACACACACACACACACACACACACACACACACACACACACACACCAAACGTCTCAAGAATCTCCTTTAGATACAAACTCGCCCTACCCTCCATCACACCCCCTCCCTCTCCCTAACCCTCCAACACACCCCCTCCCTCTCCCCTACCCCTCCAATACACCCACCCCTCCCTCTCCCCTACCCCCTCAACACACCTCCTCCCTTCCCCCTAACCCTCCAACACCCCTCCTCCCCCTACCCCTCCAACACCCCCCTCCTCCCCCTACCCCGTGATCGTCTATATTGTAATACTAAAGTTGTTAAATGTTCATAGAGGTAGAATGGGAA